GCACTTCACTACACCAGACAAGGCTCAGTTAATAAATGTTTCTTTTTAGTTTAAATTGAGACATGTGTAACATTTTTTATTATTTTTATTTTTCTCATGTTAATGAAGGAAGAAAAAGCAGCATCGGCTTCAAGAACTGGCCAAAAAAAAAAATGGCTGCACGTAATGGTGGATCAGTTAGACTGATGTCAAAATAATCAAAATCAGTTGATCTCCATTTGACACAATCATTTCTGAAGAAGCTGAGCAGTATTTTTAAAATGGGGTTTGTCTCCACATTCACAGTCACTGAAACGTCCTGCAGTACCCAGAACCTTCAGCATCAATGAACAACAGTCCTGTAGCGCAGCAGCTTTTTGACTCATTCACTGATCTCTGAGTTAGTTCTGTTTTTAGTTTTGTTTCTTTAGGCATTTATTTTTGTTTTGTTGTAAATTTGATAAAATGTCTTATGGAACTTTTTCACTTGGTTGCAACTGTTGGCAACTACTTGGTGAATGGCATTCATAAGAGTTTTGAAAATGTACAGAATATCAGAATGTGTTCAGTTTCTTCATGTGAACTGTAAAAAAAACACTGTCAGGTCTTGAATGCGTTCCAAAGACTTCTGTGACAGACCTTTTCTCAAAATAGTCTCGGGAGTTGTTGTCAGTGTATCAAATCCTCTTCATTTAGTTTCATAAACTTTGGATTGCTAAAGCTTTGACACCTGCAAGGTCTCACAGAAAATTACAGCTCAGGTAAGAACTCCTGGGAAGACCCTCCCCTGAGGATCTCCGCTTTTACTTCCTTGCAGGTGTGGCCTGTTCATAAGCAAAAATTCATTCTCCCCACAAAGTAGTCCCTCCTAATGTAAATRGGTTWTTTARTTAGCTTGCCATGTATTGTTTTGTTGTGTTTTTTAACAATGTTGACAATTTTAAATGAAATTAAAAATAGGTTTTAGTGATTTCTTCTCAGTTTTCAACTTATTTACAGTCATAGAGTGGGACAGTCTTACACCCCGTGTTCATCAGTGGATTTATCATGTTAATATATCCTCCCTCTGTCGGCAATAATCGAAACTATCAGACCCTCTGATTAGAGTCTCATTGGGGCGTTAAAAATTACGCCCTATGGACACTTCCTGCTGGTTTTAGCACGTTAATATGAACAATAGACCTATGATAAATATAGACATAGTGTTCAGCAAAAGTTGTTTTCCAACAGATGAGATATTCTGGTTTAAATGTATTTGGAGCAAGCATGAGCAAAACACCGAAAATAAAAAAAATAAAAAAAACTGGACGTTTTGCCAAGAGGGTAGGATTGTTTTAACTTAATCTGTGGTAACTGTATGGTACTGTACAAAATTTGTGCTAGAGATCAACCAATACAGGTTATTGAGACTGATACTGATTGGCTGAGGCTGAGTGAAGTGCTYCCACACAGGATTTAATTTTTTCAGCCTGCATAAACACATTTTAAACGTTGAGACGTAAAAGGAATGTGAAGCTGGGTTTTCAAAAAAATTAATCCATGAGTTTTTTTCTTGACATCCATATACTTTCAAAATGGGTGACAAGCCGTACAACTGGCTGGATTTAATTTTAGCTAGTGCCAAGAATTTCTTTTATTGCGATTAATCTCAAACTATTGCTTAGATTAATCACAATAATCTCAAAATCATGCACAAAATTAAATTAGGACTCAAATATGTTTGGAGCTMTTTTGAGTGTGTTTTAATTTTTCTTTTTTAATTGTAGGCAAATATAACACATTCTCACTCCTGACTCATCAACATATTGACGCTACACCAAAGTTCCCTCGCGTCAGTCCTTGCCGCCCGCGGCTTTTCTGGGTTGCGCCACCAGGGGTCTTTTGGTCAGTGGTCTGAGGTTAACAAGACGGATCAGGATTAATGGTTAAGTTTAGGTACTGGGGTCAGGGTTAGGATGTCTATGGCAAATATTAGGTAATTTTATGCTTTGGAACACGTAGTTGACGTGAATTTCCTACATTTTCTAAAAATGGTTAATTTTAGGGATCAGGGTTAATGGTTAATTTTAGGTACTAGGGTCAGGGATAGGATGTCTAAAGTGAATAAAGGTAATTTTAGGCACTGGGATGGTAGTTTTTGTGCATTTTCTACACTTTCTGAAATTATGACAACAGATTCCGCCCCATCTCGTCAAAAACTGARGCAAGGGGCCCACCCGACGCGTCAAAATCGGATGCAGAGGGAACCTTGGGAAAAGCGTCAATATGTGACGACTTGGGAGTGAGAACGGGTTGGCAAATAAAYCAAGGCAAGCCTGTATTTTTCTCTAACGCTGCATCCAGCCTCGCCTGCAGAACCCTAACCCTACACTGTTTATTACTGTGGATGACAGGCAATGATGGTATGATTTGAAATTAAGTGGTATTTCAGGCTCCAACTACTCTGTGGGAATTGTTGGGGTCAGAGAGCGCTGTGCAGCAGCAGCCCTACAAAACAAGCTGGTTGACACGCATGATGATGGCCATCTAAAGCCAATAGTGATCAAGACATTAACATAAAACTCAAACTMAAAATGCAGCAGGTGATATGCATCCCTTTAATCTATGTTAGGCTTTTAATTTCTCTGAATGATCTAGTACTTGCTTGTAATTTTGGTGAAAATACTTTAAGATGCATTCTGTTGTATAAAATCTATTTAGTTGTAAACAATCAAACGACTAATCTCTGTTTCAAGGTTTTGCAGCCTCTCTACGTGACACCTCTGTTTTCTATTCATCTGACTGTTTCTTTTTTTTTCCCTCTCACCCTTTAGCTGGCTAAACAAGTGATTGTGTCTCGGCTGTGAAGAAAAGAGTGAGCAGACCCCACTTACTCTGTGAGTACTCAATCAGTGGGAAACATGCTTGTCACTGGCCTTTGTGATTTATTACCTGCTATAAATGACTGCGACCATATCTTTTTTTTCAGGTAGAGGACTTGTGGCAGCACACAGTAATCTCTTTTACTTGGAAATGTGTGTCTGAGTGGATGTGTATGCTCTCTTATATTAATTCCTTACTGATTGAGAGTATTTGATGTCAGCGTTCACTTCAAATTAGGGTCTGGAAACGGCATGTAATGCAGTCTGGCTTAGCRTTACATTCTATTTAAAAATCTATGTAATTCAATTTCTGTTTCACTTTCAGGGCCTTGTTTTTTAGTGTTATAGTTTGTTTTTTCAATTTCTATTTTTCTATTTTGTAAATACCAAAATACCATTTATCAYTAATATATCATTTATTATTTACATGTGTATTATGTGTAAATTATATGTGAAGTATCTGTACATTGTTAATACTAGATGGGAAGCAAAACTATAAAATATAAATGTAGATAGTTTCTTTCTTTAAAATGTGTTTAGATTTACCACRGTGGACAGGCACAGCTCCTTGTGACCCTGTATAAAAGTGGTTAAAGAAAATTGTTGCATGAATTGTTGAAGACACAGTGTGAAAAATGATAAGTCTCAAAAAGGCATATAATTTTCTGGTTTCTCTTACTAAAATAAGTACAAGCACTTTAGATTTGTGGAATGGACATATACTGTTTAAAGATATTTCAGAAAGTGTTACTTTCAGTGTCTGAAACTGATCATTTTACCTACATTTTTGGTTTTCTTGGTTTGTATTGATTTCAGAATAGTTTTTCAGATGCACAGTGGGGGGCAGTTTACCACCTGAGTCACAGCTCAGTTTATTCTCCCTGGGGACTGACAGGATCTAGGATGGGCTGTAATTTAAGATCAAGAGGATTTGTTGGTGGCTATATCGCTTTGCATCTTCTATAAATAAAGCTGTGAAGACATATTTAAGCCTGAACACTATCCTATAGAAAAACTGCTCCACTGAAAWGGGCTGTATGTTTCAAAACTCCAAGTCCCAATAAGGTAGTGTCAGCCTGATGTCTTTATGAGTTTTTTTGCGATGCCACAAGTTGCCTTTATCTTGGGATCTTCCCCACTCTTTCAAAATAAAGGGTAGTGGGGGATGTGCGTCTTAATTAATACTCACAAGACTGCAGAAGATAATTTATGTAGTCACATGTTTAACCAATTACTCAAAGTGTAATGAAGTGGAACATGGCTCACCAGAGTTCCCAGGACACCCTCTATTCCTCCCCCCTTTTTTCATCAGCCTAATTTGGCTGTTCCAGAATGGGAAGCTAATCTCCCTTAAATGGGCAGCACATCAATTTGGATACTTAGATTTAAACGAGGTAGTATCCACCCCTCATTTAAAATTTTCTCCCCTGCTATCTCAGAATCAGAAGTTAGGAAGGGAAATGGAGAAAAGGCCAATGCCTATGACTGGGTGTTGCAATTTTAGGGATTAACCCTGATTTACTTTGTCCTTTTAAGGTATCATTAGCCATACCCCATCTCATTTAGTATTTCCAACACCTGCAAACAAGCATCTGCTGAGTACGTTGTACTTTTTTGAGGGTGTACAAATTAATCATGGCAAGAATTGCAACTTCTTTAAATTTTTGGATGGTGACCAAATGACATTTTCCCCAAAGATGCCAGGGAGCTATAACAACATTAAACACTGTTTGACAAGYGAATAGTGCTGACTAGGATTGTTCATTTTTAAACTGTGGCTAATACAATATGTTTCTTATTACACTTCAAGTGATCCAATTCAGGATGACTGCCACAACCTTAGGAAACACAAAAGTTACTGTATTTCAACCAACTGTTCAGATATTTATCCTAAATTCATTTGAGTAATAGCTAGAAGTAATACTCAACACATACAGCACTGAACAAAATACATCTACCGTATTTATTCGTGTATAATACAATCTCATGTATAATATGACCCCCCTTTTTTGAGCTTAAAAAGCATAAAAAATTAAATCCTCAAACTACCTCCAATTTCATACAGACTTCAAGATTTTTCAGCCTTTGCAGTCCTCATACATATCAGTAAAATGATCATTGGACTGTTCATTTTATTTTAACAACATACGTACTGAAAGGTATTTTGACAACAAATATATATCAGCTGTATCAGCATCATATGAATTCTGGCATTTTACACATAGTCCAACAGGATTCGCCAACACAAAAATCAGAGACTTCACATGAGATTTGGACCATCTTGTGGGGMAAAAGCAGATTACTTCCTACTCGCGAGTGCCCCCTCTGGTGGGGAAACTTTTTTCAGGGATACAAAGTTTTTCAGAACACCGGTTGGTGGCAGCCATTACAGACGAACATGTGTTTGTTGTTGTTCAAGGAGTGGCCCGGTCACACGCTAATGGCATTAGTCCGTTATCATTACTAAGGTGCAGGACTGCATTTCCCCCACCCTTTTTTTTCACATCATGTCACCTGCCTGGATCTGTTATCTCATTCTGAAGCAGGAAGGAGTGTCAGAGYTAAGCTCGCTTCAACTGCTTTTTACGACTCGGTCTCATTTCCAGACTCAGGCATTTTGTGAATGAAGCCGATATTTCAGGTAAAATACATAAGTAAAAATATTTATCCAAGTAAACCCCCCAACTTTATGGATGATTTTATGGATTTAATTTTACGTATTATACTTGAATAAATATGGTTTGTCTAAACTTTTGGCAATAACTGTTAAAATGAACACTCTATGTCAGTTAGCTAAATATCTCATGAAGCACCTAAATGAAGTTAATGAAACTCTCTAGTTAATTATTAATTGTACATCTGCAACTCATTGACATTTGGAGTCAACCCAATGCAAGATGTCTGCCACAGCTAACAAACTGTAGCAAACACAAAAGAAGGTATAACGATCACAATTTGGCAAATATTGAGCTAATTTTGGAGTAATTATAACCAAGAGATGTTCTAAGCTCATTTTCTAAACATTAACACATCTCGTGAAATTTCACAWACATAAGATTTTCATAATATTTGAGCAAAATAGCTGTAATTTTTCTCTTTAAAAATACATTTTATTCTGGTAAAATGCTAACAAAGTTTGGTGGGTGATAGGCATTCCTTCAAAGAATTTTAGGTTTTTACTTTTTTTTTCTAGAATATGAGTTTATGTGTATGAACAGGGTGAAGCACACMTATGATGTATTTTTGTTGTTTACACCAGTTTTAGTGCAGTTTTCCTCTTAAACAGCAAGCATTGCTAATGATAAAATAATAAATGACACCAGAACAAAAAAATGTACACCAAGAACTGTCCACTGGAGATCCATTTTAAATGCACAAAGCTACACCTAAACTATACTTAAAACATCTTTCTTTCTAAAATGAGATGCCTGCATAAATGTTTGAACAAGAAGATTTTTTATCTATTCAATTTAATCAAATTTTATTAGTGCACTGATTTAATGAATTGATTATCCATATTTAATCCTACACAACATCAGCACACAGCTACTCAACCAGTWTAAACACATGTGTGTCTGTGAATTCTGGGGAACCCCAAGGCGTTCCCAGGCCAGAGAGGATGTATAATCCTTCCAGCGAGTCCTGGATATTCTCTGAGATATCCTTGAATGACGGAGCTCCTCTCCTTATCTCTTAAGACTGAGCTTGGTCACCCTACATAGGAAGCTCAATTTGGCCGCTTGTACCCGGGATCTTGGCCTTTCGTTCTTGATCCACGCTTCATGACCGTAGATGAGGGTTAGAACATAGACAGACCAGTAAATGAAGAGCTTTGCTTTTCGACTCAGCTATTTTATAACCGACTGAACCTGCATCTTCATTARTGAGGATAAGGCCCCAATCTCTCCATCCATCTCTTGCTCCATCCTACCATTACTCATGAACAAAACACAGACAAAGATATTTAAACTATTCCACTTGGGTCAGAGACTCCCACCCAACCGGTAGGGGGCAWTACACTCTTTTCCGTTGCAAGGACCATGGCCTCAGACTTAGAGGAACTGACTTTTATCKCAGCCACTTCGCACTCAGCTGTGAACTGTCCCAGTGCACCCTAAAGGTCTTGGCCCGAAGACGCCAGCAGAATCACATCTTACACATAAAGCAGAGATGAGACCCTGTAGTTCCCAAACCAGAGACCCTTCTCTCCACAACTGCTCCTTGAGATCCTGTCCATAAACACMACAAACATGACTGGAGACAAAGTACAGCCCTGGTGGAGTCCAACCCGAACTGAGAACAAGCTCAACTTTGTGTGAAGAATGCAGGCACAGCTGTGAAGACGACTTCCTTACCAATTCCGCAAGGGTAAAGATCTGGTCCACTGGCCCACACCTAGGACAGAAGCCACACAGCTCCTCTTGAATCTGGCTCGACAATCTATCTGAGTCTCCCTTCCAACACCCTGGAGTAAACTTTCCTGGGGAGTGCAGAAAGTGAGATCTGATGATAGTTACAACACACTCCTGTCCCATTTTTAAAAAATAGGAACCACCATCCCGATCGGCCACTCCACAGGAGTTGTCCCAGTCTTCCAAGCGATGTTGAAGAGATGTGTCAACCATGACAGCACCACAACACTCAAAGCCTTCAGCATCTTGAGGCAAAAGAACAATAAACAATGAGCCATTGTTTAGCTAATTAGCCTAGCTTGAACAAAAATGTTTGCCTCTTTCTTCATACTTTTTGCTCTATGTGGTTGACAAGGTAGGAACTATTGATGTGACAGGACATCATTAAAAAAACAAGTGTCCTTTTAAATGCCTTTTGTAATTGTAGCTTACACATGTCTACACAATGCACAATAAGCTGCTGAGCATGCAGCTATTTATGCAYTGTGGAAATTCAATCAGTTTCTCTGGGTGTGGCTGTGAATGCTAAACAAACAAGACCTGTATTTGTGTGGAAGTGGACAAAATAAAGTTGATCAACTTGGAAGTGAAAGTGGACAGCTGACTATGGAGAACACAAATGAGCATCGATCACTGAGCAGAGCAAGTCTACTAATGGCCTAAAGCTGCAGGGGCTTGTTAGTCAACCTCTGCAATGGACATGAATGGTTCCTGTGTCCTTAAAACACACTTAATAATAATCAAAATCTCATTCCTAAT